ACCTATACGTGGCATTGTCATTTGAATGAACTAGCATTTTTCTACATAACTTGACTTAACCATGACTACTACTGCTCCACCTTTGTCGGCTTTCGTTATGATTAGATTATTTTTACGCAAATATCTAGAAATCTTTCTAATATAACAATCATTCTTAGTTGGTATTATATTGTCGAAATGAGGGATCACCTCTAATTCAAAACTATTCCTCACCTCTTCAGGCAATCTACCAGATAAGCTAATTAATTCAACAAGTATTTCCAGAGAATAGTTTACCTTACTTGGAAGAGCAAAGTTCAATCCTCTTTCCAATAAAAGTACTACACTATCCTCCAGAGTTGTACTAGATTTATTGATTACCTAATCCTTCACCACTTTGTTGCAACAATGGTTAGTAAGATTTATCTTAGGCGCAAAGTTTCTCGACCTTATTCTAAGTCCTAGATTCATGAAAAAAGAGCGGATCGATGAATAGCGAATTTAAAAATAGACACTTTCAGTTCAAATGTCTTTTTAATGCAATCAGCAGAAATCGATGCAGTGCGAGTAGAATTTTCGGGCCGAGTCAGTGTAGGCGGAGTTCATATCTCCACTTACCGTTTAAATGTCTTGCGGGCGCGTTTGGCATGGGTCAATACGATGGAAATATAATTTTGATGCTGAGTCATTAGAGGGGAAGTCTAAAATGCCGCAGTAAGTTGTTAGTTCGTTATTCGGAGATAAAGGCCACGCGAAAAAGCTTCTCGTGCAGCCACTTCAACTATTTTGTGACATGAATTTTCTTTTTAAGAGGAAAATTTTGTTGGAAGCAATTCTTGAAATGGTAGGAAAATTGCCGCGGAAGTAAGACTGTTTGTTGGATTGTGCGAACAAATCTTCAGCTAACCATCTCGCAATCTCGATCAACTTGTGCTCAGCTTTCGTCTGTACCGCAGTGACAGACATCGAATTCTTTGAGTTAAGAAAACCCTTCACTAAGATTGCGCAATCTTGAGCATTCTTTGAGTGTCAAGCTCAGAAGTTGGGCTGGATTATGCGACCCGATCCGATGATCCCAGTCGACTTCCAATGCCACTGGCTGGCTCTCAAAACCGGTTTTTCTCAGTCCCATCGGAACTCGAGGGCTTGTCTTCTTGTCTGTCCGCGAAGGAGGACGACGCCCTGCCCAACTCTGGTACTGGCGATGGCAATTCACTCGTTCACTTTCCTTTCATGAAACGTCACTCGGTCTGTCGGTCTGTCGTCTTGTTGTCCTGCGCCTACTCGGCCCTCCATGTGGACGGGCTAGCGGCCAATTTGGGGGTTGTTCTCGCGGGCCGGACGTCGACACATCCACTTCAGCCGCCAGGCCGGGCGGCACCTGATCTCGTCGAGAGGCTGAAAGCAAATTTCGCCTGAAGCGATATTCACGCAGCAATCGGCTCCTCCTCATCCGCTCCCTACCACTTCAGCCACTGTCGGGACGGCCTCAGTAGCGCCATCGTGGGGTGTGCTCCTCACCCGAGCTGGTCGGAGGCCGAAGCGGTTGCGAAAACCAACAAAGTGGACCCCAATCGGCCGCATCCCCCGGGCCCTCGTGGGTTGGTACCGACTGAAGGGAGGAGGGAAAGGGCAGAAGATGGCCTCTGCCGGGCCGGGCCAAGTGTTGCATGCGGCTGGTCTCGGCGAACCGAAGAGAGTGGCGGGAGGCGAGTACTTAATCCCTTTCCTGTCGCGTCCATCTGTTTATTTTCCCTATCATGTAATGAATATTGCAGCTCTCTTGTACTTAAATCCTCCAGATGTTGCTTTGGTACCTGCACATGAACATCTGAACACACACACGCACCCCTCAAGGCGATTTTATGTAGGCTCATTGCGTGCAAGTGTATGTGTGAGTATGTCAGACTTGGTGCCATGATGGCTTTGTCCGACACCGTCGAGAATTACTTTCGAAGCAAAAGTTGGTTGGACGTAGCTCGTGAATTGGTTGCGCCGGAAAGCGATGGATTGTGCAAAGAAGTGCTCGGCTCATCGTCTCTTCTTGTTTGAATCACGAAATGTCCCATTAGGCCCGTAAAGATGGCTGTACCAACTCAATGTGCTAGCATTTGTTGAGCCCACTTCCATTTCGAGCGAAGGTGTGCGATGACAAGGAGATGCCAGGATGGATCGCACTAGAAGACGACGTCAGACCCCTTTTCGCCAGCCTTGACTTCTGGTGACATCGACTTTAGAACGTCTTCATCACAGACCCTTTCACTCGAAATGGAAGGAAGCTCAACAAATCTTTACCAAGTGATTCATTAAATCCTAACACCTCCTCGCATCGAGTAGTATTGCAGCTCCGATGATGTCTGTCGCGGTAAAGACGGAAGCTTAGTACAAGCTATTCGGGGTCGCAGGACGATGAGCCAATTCTACTTCGGCTTCTAGTGAGACCAATTCATGAATTCCTTCCAGCCAACTTGTACTTCAAAATGAAACTTCAAGTCGTCTGCCTGTGTTCTCTGCTGTTGAGCTCACTTCCATTTTGAGTTAAATTGTTTGGCGAAAAGATGATAAAGGTCGATCCCATCAGAATAGGACGGCAGATTCGTCCTGACCAGTTGTCGATTCTCTTTACAAGAAAGTACTTATTGACGCTGTTTATGAGGCAATATTTCTGGATTCCGTTGAAGACGGACAGGGATCACTAGAGCTGGGCATCACTCTGACTATTTTATTCAAGCTAACAAATCATGAAAATGGATTGTTTTTTCTCTAATGCTGTATACTTACTCTAAATTATGCATTTCTAGAGGGCAAACAGCGATTTAAAATCAGCATTGAAGAATGCGAGTGTCTGTCTCTATATGTTTATTCGCCTTCATGGGTTTGTGTATGTAGGAAACCAGCAGCAATGGCTTGACGTAATTAGAACAGAAAAGTAATCTGTGTTCTCAGTCGTCAAAATTTGGTGACAGTAACCACCTCTTTTTTCTTTATATTTCAACGATCACTCTGATCGCGCATTAGGAAACATGCCTCGTTATGCTGATGAGCTTTATGTCTTCACGTGAGAAAGAAAGGAATGAACCAGTGAGTTTTACTGACGCGTCAACTTGAATTTGGTGGTAATGATAACATACTCACTGTTCTGAGGATGTCCGTCATACGACGGACGAAAGATTATAACATTTCACCGTAATCAAAGGAGATTGCCTCGGGCACAAAATCAACAAGCATCTTCCAGTAAAGCCAATCGGCAGCTGGTCAAGAGGAATGCGCCATTGTCTTCTGGTGAGCTCAACCAAATGCTTTCGTTGTTCTATGGAAGTGAGCTCAACACGTGTGAACTTTGCTTTGTAACTTCTATTTCCTTTGCCTCCATCTCGATTGGATGTCGCCTGGCCGACCAGAATGCGGTAGAGTCCTCATGCGGATGGCCTTCTGGCGGCAGTGGCCGAAACTATGGGCCGCCGACTTGCCGACGTTTGTCCAGATTCTGAACCAGTGAACATGACAGGACGAGAAACGCACATGTTTGAGACGTGATTAAGGCAGAGACAGGGCGTAGAAGAGTGTTATTGTGTCATATGAGAGGACTGGCATATGCATTTTTCCACAATGTAATGAGTAGAGCTGACGCTTCCATTGTGCTCATCCAGGCACCAGCGGGCTGCAGTTTCGACCTCGCATCGGTCGTATCAACACACCCAGCGGGATTCGAACCGCGACGGTGCAGAATGGGAGCTTGACACGTTAACCACTCGACCACATTGCCACGAGTGCCCTT